GGGAGGACGAGAACAAGCAGAGCACGTCCCGTCAAGGTGCGGAGGGGGGGAAAGACTCGGAGAGTGAGTCTGATTCCGACCTCGACGTGACGGAGGCTGGGCGAGCGACGCTGCCGGTGCAAGAGAAGGCGCCGGCGGCACCCGGCAACGGGACCGGGGACGCTGGTTCGGGCGTCCCCCTGTCGCCTCCTTCGGGAGGAGGCGACTTCGATGGAAGCAGCAGCGGCAGCAGCAGTAGCAGCGACCGCAGCAGCAGCAGTAGCAGCGACCGCAGCAGCAGCAGCAGCAGCAGCAGCAGCAGCAGTAGCAGCAGCAGCAGCAGCAGCAGCAGCAGCAGCAGCAGCAGCAGCAGCAACAGCGACAGCAGCAGCAGCAACGCCGCCGGCGACGACGACGGCGGCGGCGCCAGCGACAGTGAGCCCGGCGCCTCTGGAGATGGCGGTGGCGGCGGCAGCGAACCCGGCGAAGACTCCGAGCAACTCGAGGAGTACAAGTTTGATCCCGCCGACAGCCGCTACCCGCCGGGCCGCGAAGGGCGTCGGCTCCTCTGGGGCGCCTCGAAGGAAGGACCGCTGCGCCACGGGCTCGAGCGCGGCCGCACACGAAGGGAGACCCGGGAGCTGCAAGGCCCCGAGGAGCCGCCGGGTCCAGACGCCGAGCCAGACGCCGAGCAAGCGCTGCTGGCGGAGATCATCGTGGACTACGTTTCCAACTCGCTGGTGCGGGAGCGGTACGACGAGGAGCAGGTCAACATCGAGTACCGGCGTCAGATGCATGAGCTGCCGTACGGCACCGAGCTGCAGGAGGAGGCGTTCGGTGCAGAGGCAGGGGACGACGGGTCATCGCAACCTCTTCATGACCCGCACCTAAGTATCCCCTCGCCCTTCGGCCAGAAGCCAAGTGATGTAGAGTGCGTGCCCTTGACGTACAAGGATGTCCTTAACTCCAAGTACAAGGTGCTGTGGGAAGCAGCCATAGCAAAGGAGTTCGACGGCCACAAGAAGACGGGGACGTTCTCCGAGATTAGCGGTCTGCCCGAGGGGCGTAAGGCCATCAGTGCGAAGTGGATTTTCTCGCACAAGACCAATGAGAAGGGGCTGATTGTCGACTTCAAAGCACGTATGGTTGCGCGTGGTTTTTCTCAGATTCCCGGTGTGGATTTTCACCACTCATCATCCGCATGCCCTTCCGCGGTGTCCATCAAAACTATGGTGGCCGTATCCACCGAGAATGGTAGGAGGCCTGTCCACTGGGACATCAAGCAGGCGTACACACACGCCAAGCTGAAGGAAGAAATCTACCTGAGGCTTCCAGACGGTTGTGGTGTTTGGACTGGCAAGGCGGTGAAAGTCGAGCGTGCTCTGTATGGACTCAAGCAGAGTGGGCGCGAGTGGGGGTTTGAGGCTGCCGATGCCCTGATCTCAAACGGCTACGAGCAGTGCAGGGTGGACCCCTGCATTTTCCGCAAGGTGGTTGACGGAGAAGTCGTAGGTCTCATCGTGATCTACGTGGATGACATCATGTTGTCCGCGACCGAGGAGGAGCGTGAAGAGTTGCTAGCGTCTCTCCAGAAGAGATTCCCTGTGAAGGATCTAGGAGATTGTACCTGGTACGATGGGTGTGCCATTGAGGTGGACCTTGAGAATGGTACCACCAAGCTGTCC